TTTTGTTACGTTGTTAGCTTTTTTCTTTGCTTTTGTATGTTTTTTTGTTATATTAAATCCAGCACGGGTGAATCTCGAGAGACAGTAACTGGGTTACTGGTTTCTTGGGGGCCTGGCAGGGGAAGTTGGGGTGAAATCGGGAGCTAATAGCAGTGAGTAAAAGAAGAAAATGTTCTACAATTGATTGTGGTGATGCTTGTACAACTCTTCCTTTTATGACTGAACTACTGAATTGTATGACATGTGGAGTATGTTCCAATACATTTATTTAAGTATAAGATAGAAATAAGTATAGAGAAAGTCCATTGTAAATATGAAAACCTATACAAATGCAGAGAAGTCCATGTAATAGTAATGAAGGCCTGGATCCTGGAGGAAGACTGCAGAGTTCAAATCCCGGTCATGACACCTATTCCAGTGACTTTGGGAAATTACCTACTCTCCCTGTGTCTTGGTTGCCCCATCTATAAAACAGGCATGGCAATTGTACATTAAAGAGCGTCGTTAATAAGACATATACAAAATAAAATAAAGAGCAAGTCCTGTCTGTGCGCATGCATTTGCTCATGCAGGTGTGTTTGTGTGTGTGTTTGGTTCATTTTAATAGAGCCCTGGGTGGGGCCAAATGTTAAAACGCTTGGCTGCCAACTGAAAGGTTGGCAGTCCACCCAGAGGTTCCTCAGAAGAAAGCCCTGGCAACCAACCCCCAAAGCAAACAGCCATTAAAACCCAACAGAGCAAAGTTCTGCCCTGACACACAGGGAGCACCGTGTGACAGAAAGAACTCAAGGGCAACTGATTTCAAATTAAACACACACACACACACACACACACACAGAAACTCTAAAGTGAAAAAAGTCCAAACTGACAGACGGCCATCATGCTTCATAAAGCCCCTGTGCTGTTTTTAAATACTTTATTAATTTCCTGTCAACACCAAGAGAATCCCTAAGGTTTTACGTTCAATCATTATTTTCTGGTCTCTTTTAAAATAAGTCAGTCTGGCAACACTGAGCTGGCAATTCCACATGGCAACCTTGAGTTGGCACCACTTATTTGGAAGCTGCCCTGGTTTACCCCCAGCCCTTGCCACTACCCCTCTTTACCTAATTATCCCCTTGCAGGTGCCTGAGTTGCTACCCCAAGCAAGAGAAAGCAAATGCTTTTAAAAAAAATGTTTGCAATCGGTATCAAGCTGAAAACATTCAATAATCTATTCATAAATATTTGCCTTCCACTGAAGGGCTCAACCAGTGCAAGATAAAACCTTCTTATCTGACTTCCCAAAGCAGTCATTTACGATTCTTTGGCAAAGACCCCACACCTAAGGAAAACTCCTTGGCTTGGTTTCAAACTCTGCTGAGAAAGAAGGGAGGCATCGGCTCAAGCAGGCCTTTGGACAGATGCAAAAGGGTGAAACTCACCAGAGGAGCCAGGCGGATCTGCAGGCAACGGCTGAGCCCAGTGTAGGCTCCCGCAGAAAGCGGGTTCGGGTGACAGACCAGCGGCTATCTCCTTGTGAATCTAAACATCCAATTTCTTTGCCACGATCCTCAGCCTTTCCCTCAGGCTCTGAAAGCAAAGCAGGCAGGCGAAAGGGAGGGACGGTCAGATTTGGGGTCTCCAAAGCAGCAAGGTCACGGGTGTGAAACCGAGGGAGGGGACAATTAGCGGAAGCAGGAATAAAGCAA